ATCATTTGTAGTAATTTTACCCCAAAAAAAATTATTTACAGTAATTTAGAAGGCAATATATATATATATATATATATATATATATATATATATATATATATATATATATATATATATATATATATATATATATATATATATATATATATATATATATATATATATATATATATATATATATATATATATATATATATATATATATATATATATATATATATATATATATATATATATGTATATATATTACTTTTATGTTAGAAAAATTGTCAAAGGAATACATTAGATTAATATTTTAAAAGATTATAGTATGATATAATCTTCAATTTTCACTTTATATCATACTATAAATCGAGGATTTAACTTGACACCCTCAATTTGAACCTGACACCCTTCTATTTCGTATGAATAGACAATACTGCCCTTGCAACAGTTTTTCACATATTTTTGAAATTCACAATTTCCACACGTGAATTTGAATTCTTTGGGGTGATACCGAAAATCACGTTTCTTTTATCGGAAATTTCAAAATCAGTACATTTTTCAAACGTAAATTACTAAATTTGCATGATTTTGTACCAAAACTTTCAAAATTTTCGATAATAATGAAAACATTTTAATATAAAATTTCAAAATTTCCGGTACAAAATCAGATGAAAATTCTAAAAAATTTCAGAATTTTCGATAGTTATAAAAACTTTGTTTTTTGATCGGAAATTCAAACTTTCCGCTAGTTATAAAAACTTTGTTTTTTACTGAAAATTTCAAAATTTTTGATAGTTATAAAAACTTTATCTTTTATCAAATATTTCAGAATTTGCGATAGTTATTAAGTTTTTTCTCCGTCTTTTGCAGTGAAATACAAAGATAGAAACGACACTATTGCAAGCAGAGCGACAAATAGAGCGGCAGACCAGACTAGAGCTACTAATACCGAGCCTTCCCAGATACGGGCTGGATGAATGGTTCCAACCGGTTCACACTGAAAACAGTTGGCTGAACATGGCCAGTTTTGCGCACCCCGTAGCACCCGACGTCAATCTATTTGATTAGTTGAGCAACCCAAAGATGGGGTGGCAGATGAGGTGGTCTAGTCAGATGTGTTATTGTAGATGAGGTGGTTGTCGATGAGGTTGTAGACGAGGTGGTCTAGCCAGATGTTGTTGTTGCCGATCCGATCCCATTTATTACTATTGGCGTAAAGGTTATGGCTTCTTTGATTGAGCCTTCTATGCACACTGATGAAGAATTCTCTAGAGGACTCATTAATCGGTCGATGCTTACTAAGTATACTGACCATGTGGCATATCGACTATCGCAAAGAGAGATATGTATCTTTTATGTTTAACTTTAATTTATTTATTATTGTGCCATAAAAGCTAACTGCTATTTTTTTTTAAAAAAAATTGTTTGTTACAAGACCGTATCCCACTAAATGTGACATCGCATGGGTCGAAGATGAAGAATTTCTCGAAGACTCCAATGCCTGAGGAGGTCATACAGATTGTACGTGAGTTAGAGCTCCTTGATTTTGCCCACTGCTCCCTCACCATGCTCGACACTCCACTACTTACTGCTTTTGTTGAGATATGGCACAAAGAGACATCTTAATTTAATCTTCCATTTGGGGAGATGACTATCACTCTAGATGATGTCTCCTCATTGATCCATCTCCCCATTGGCGGCAGATTTTGGACATCTCCTGTTATTATCCAAATGCTTGCATGTATAACTGTTGCACGAGATTTGAGAGTTTTTTGAGGAGGTCGTGCAGGAGTTTTCCTTCAACACATGTGCTCACCTTCATATGTCATGGCTTCAGGAAAGGTGCGACGATCTTGTTACACTATGAGGTTGCCTATAGGGTGTACATGCTACATCTTGTAGCATGTACTCTCTTTGCAGATAAATCAAGTGTTTATATCAAATCCTGTTATGTGTGATTGTTCAGTAGCCTTGACGTTACCAGTTGGGCTTGGGGGTGCGCCGCGTTGACCATTATGTATACGATACTTGGAGTGGCGACATTATTTGAGACCAGACAGCTTGCTAGTTATATAAGTCTGTTACAAGTATACTTGAAATTATTATTTGTCGTTGTCTTCTTATTTAAATATTACAAATAATATTTCTTAATTATTATTTGTTGTGTCTGTGTTTTGATATTAGTGTTGGATATACAAGCATTTGCCCACCATCTGTGACAGGAGGGTGCAACATTCCATAGTGGGGGGCCACATGGGCGAGGAAATGGAGGACCAAAAAGTTACATTTCGATGGCATTGCTGAGTACATGAGGGGCTAGATGCGCTGACTATAGATGATGTCATTTGGATACCATACACTGATCATAGAGTCCACCGTGAGTTTGATGAGTCTTCTTTATATTCAAGTTATATGCGGTGGGATACCATGGTTGATAGACACTTGCCTGAGAGGTGTTTGCGACAATATGATTATGTTTAGAGCATCCCACGAACAGTTCTGGATATACCATCTGCGAACATTGATTGGTGGTTTCAGAGTAACATAATCATCTCTGGTCGTGCCATTAGAGATCGGGCAGTTATGGTTCAACACCTTTCGCAGTGTGGAAATGGTTACTTAGAGTGGTATATCATTGTATCACACTCTCACATCATCCCACATGTTGAACATATAGATGATGTTGGGCCTTCTGATGCTGGGGGTACCCATCGATGACATGCCATTACCGCCGCCTCTTACAATTGATGCCGATAACCAACAACGCCTCTAGATGATTGCAGTTATTATGGACAACCTCATGGGTTTGGTTAACCTAGATGACGAGGTTTATACATATAGTCAGTGGGGGCCTATTTAGACATTTTTGTTATCTTTATGTATTATTTATATATTATTTGTATATTACATGTAACATTACTCAGATATCTTCATTAAAACTTTTTATTTGATAATATTTTTGTTCTACCATTGATGCAACATCAACATAAACTACCATTTGATAACTTATGCAAACATAACTTAAAAATGATAATAAATAAAAAAACCTAGACACTACGAAATGATTTTGGACGTTTCATCATCTTAATTATGTTGTCGGCGGATCTTGAAATCTTAACATCTAACTCGAACGACCCCTTCATTAACCTACAATGAAATGATTTCCACACATCCTTTACATCTTCGTCGGTCTTCAACTCAATAAGATTGTATTTCACCCTTCAGTCAATATCAATCCAATCTTCACGAAACTCGACTTTTCTCACCTTTCTGTTTTCGGTATCATGCAATACTTCATTCAACTTGGACGTCAAGACAGCGAGAGATGTAGTGCCATCTGAAAGCCAAAACTCTACGGGAGGTGAAACTCTATTGATGTACACTTATTTCTTAATCAAAAATTGAGAAAGATGTATTTTTTAAGATATTTTTATCAAACAACAGGTGATCCCTCTATTTATACAACTTTGCATTTACTCTGGACCACACAAAACTGTCATTACAATCACAACCATCCAAAACTGTAGACAAAATCTTGAGCATTTAAAATTTCAAACAAATAACAGTACCAAAAATTTCACTTTGGTTGAAATTTCTGGTATAAAATGATAAATTTAAAATTTTAGGTATTATTTATAATTTCTCAGATATTTCAAAAATTCCATTATATAAAAAATTTACAATACACTATCACAAATTTTGATTTTGTCTACCACAAATTTTGAACAAAAAATTTATTCAACTTTTTGTCCAAAACAGTTTTAAATTTTTTATAGGAAATGCCAAATAAAATGAGGTGTGTGGTAAATTAAATTCTCCTATAAATTGCACGGTTTAAATATCTAAGTCCATAGTTTAAATATCTAAATCCATAATATAAGATGAGAAAAGAAATAGAAATATATATACATAAACCATCGAATTTAATCTGTGTAATCCACTAAATCATAAAGAAACAGCTATAAGACTGATAATATCTACGAGACGAAAACAGAAATGTTTGAGGGGATAAAGAAACAATACAAAAATAAACTAAATATAACAAAAATGATATTATGTTGAATATATAGTAATATTAGGTGAAATAAAATTAAAATGAAATCAATGTCAATTTTTCATGGGAATACAAAATTATAACTTTTTGCCTTGAAAATAAAAAATAAAAAATGTGTAAATTTTCTATGAATAAAAAGAACAAATGTATAATCTGTTAAAACCTCAAACAATCACGAAAAGTAAGAACCTCAATACCACATTCTTGAGTATTAGTTTACAATGCATGAAACAAACATTAATTACCTTTCTAATTTTTTATTTATTCTCTTGACAAACTGTAGAAGTGCATTCTCATAGCAATAAGAGATAATCGACTACACTTATTTTACTCTCACTTTATTTTAACACATTTATTTTTACTTTTACTAAACCATTTAAAAATATTTTCAGAAAACTAAATTACTATAAAGAGTTCAAACTTTTCTGAAAGATAACTTTTGGGGTAAAAATTCTTTAAGATAATGCTATTTTATTAAGTCTCAATATTACTTTTACTGCTATTAGTAACTCAAATCACCCTTCTGCTAGCTCACATAAGAGGCAGATTTCACCTGTATTGCTGCTTCATTAGCTATGATCATTTGAAAGTATATTAAACTAGATCAAGTGAGGCCAAGTTGCCAAGTCCTTGACAAACTATTCAAACAACACATTATCATCAAACCGCAAGAATTGTGCAATTGAGATTATTATAGTAAAAGCAAGGCAAACAAGATAACTACTCCAGCCTTAAAACTAATCATCGGCGTTTCCTATTGGAAGCACTGTTTATTTACAGCTCTCTGCACAAGCTCACCATTCCCCTAAGTCCAGTCCCAATCACTTTCAATTGTATTATACAGCCCAAAAATGTTCATGCTAACGGGTGAAAATAGAAGTGTATGTGTACAAAAATGTGATACCATAAACAATAGCTCGGAAGCAAAGTAGAGGGCCTCCTAACTAACTAACCAAATACTTCATCGCTTATAAACTCTCACTTCTGGTTTATTTTTCCTTCTGTTCTCAGAGCATTCCCTCAAAGCTTGTATTTCTGCCAAAAGATCAACATCACATAAAATCACAACTGTTTCTTTTAATGTAAAACTAATAATGACTAGTTTAAACACAAGCACGACATTACAAAGTTCTAAATTGCAGTTATGTCCGTAATACAACAGGTTTAGAAGTCTCCACAATGAAACCACAATTGTGGCATCGGCTACATCTTAGAGTAATATAAAGGAACTCAGAATTCTATAAAAGAAATTAACAAAAAATAAACAGTTATTTTGATACCAAGGGAAAAAAATGTTCTGGCTTAATGAGCATACACAGTTAGTATTTTCCATCTCACACTACTAATTTCCAACTTATAAACCATCAATTTGGTCTCAAACAACCACGCTCACTTTAATTGTCACTAGCATGATCCATGAAGATTTAGAACTAAACTAACAGATTTTCATATAATAGGACTAAATTGATCAACTTTCATATGAATTAGGAACTAAATTGAGCTTCTATTCAATTTCTAAGCATACTAACAAAACATAGGAATAGAAAACTCATAATCAGAGTCTCACGTATAGAGATAAAGATAGGTAATACAAACAAATTGTACCTTTCTGGCATTCTTTCCAATTCCGGTTAGAACGAACAACGCAATCCTGAGAATGAATTGGGAAAAAAATTCAGCCAATCATCGACGAATAAAAGAATTAAGGGGTTTAGGGTTTTGGGAAGATGAAGAAGAGAATGAGATTCACCTGCATCAAGAGATAGAGAGAAGAACATTCATCGAGCTGTTTGACGTTCTCATCTTCGTCGTCTAGATCGGTCGTGTGAAGTGGTTGCGGTGCCGCCAATGGTTTCAATTCGGTCGTGTGAAGTGGTTGCGGTGCCGCCAATGGTTTCAATTCGGTCGTGTGAAGTGGTTGCGGTGGCGCTAGTGGTTTCACTTCGCTCGTGTTCAACGGTTGTTGCTCCAT